TCCCCCCTCCCCCCCTTGGGTTCCCCCAAAGTCCAGACCCCCCCTTCTGCAAAAGTGGGAAAAGGAGTTTTGAGGCTGTAATGCCCTAGATGGGGCATTGCTCTCTCTCTCTCTCTCTCTCTCTCTCTCTCATGGAAGGAGGAAAGGAGAGATGGGGTGTTTGGTTAGTAACAGGAAGCGGCAAAGGTACAGAGTGTTTTTCTTTTTTGCTCCCAATCCAGCTCAGCAGGAGAAGACCCCAGCCTGGGAAGCATGAGATACGAAATTTTGTGAGGGGAGATACGAAATTTTGTGAGGGGGTGAGGGAAGGACTTGTGTGGAAGGACTTAGTTCAACATGGAGGCTGATCTCCAAGGAAGGGGGCCAGGAGGGAGAGTCACAAAGTTTAGATAAATATTTTATTTTTATATATACTATCCATCTGGCTAGATGCCATTCTGGGTGTCTTACCACGTGTGGGGGGGATAGGTGAAGGAAGGAAATATTCAAAGCTAGAATGATCTTAAGATGGAAACTCTTCCCCCTGAATTTAACATCAAATCTTTATAATATTCTAAGAATTAGGTGCATCGGGACCTGAAAAGAGGTGAGCCATTCAGGGAGGGGGGCAAAATATTGGGAGGGGGTTCAAAAAAGGAAGGCAACACCCTCAGGGAGCACGGGGGCAGGGGAAGGCTACTTCTCTCTGCCTTCCGGATTGTAAAATCCACCCCCTCCCTTTGGGTCTCCATTGCAGGGCCCGGAATTTGCATATCCCTCCTTCCTAGTCTTCTGGTTGGGGATATTAGGGGTGGGGGACGGGGGTGGGAGGTTTATGGAAGCAGGGAGACCCTCAATGTCCCCCACCCCACAGGGCACTCTGTGTGTGTGTGTGTGTGTTACGTGCAAGGAGGGGGAGCTCAACCTCAGTTTTCCTGTGAGGAACCCTGTGAGGAATCCGACTGTTTAATTAAAACAAAGCATCGCGAAGGCCCACGGCGGGTGTTGACGCGATGTGATTTCTGCCCAGTGCTCTGAATGTCAAAGTGAAGAAATTCAATTAAGTGTGGGCAAACGGCGGGAGAAACTATGACTCTCTTAAGGCTGGCTCTCTATCTCCTTCTCAAGGGGCCTCCGTACTCGATGACCACGCTAAGCGCGACTTCCCTTACACCTGGCATCCTTCAAAAAACAAATCCGCCGGCGAACTACGCTGCTGTTCAAAGACTACTATCTTTGCAAGAAGGACGCTGCCTCGTGTGTCCTCTCTGGTCGTTGGCGCTCTGCGTACCATGGCTCCACAGATACGGTTGCTGGACTGGATGACTACTGGTCAAAGATCTTCGAAGAACCTTCGGTCTCTGATCACCGTAGGGCCACTCCTGCTCCATCCCCAAGCTGGTCCATAATATCCGCCATCTCGGCTCCTGAGGTTACCAAAGCCATCGTGATATGGGGAATTTGGCTGCTGGTCTGGACTGCCTTACTTCTTCTATCCTTCTCTCTTGGGACCAACCCTCGCTGGCCGCTTATTTCAATCTGCTTCTGGTCGTGGAATCAGCCCTCTCGCAATTATCCAAATCCTGAGTGGTGTTTCTTCGCAAGAAAGAAGACCCTTCTGGTCCGGCTGACTTCTGACCTATCTCCATCTCATTGGCTATCCTCCGTGCCGTCCACAAAGTTTTGGCCCACCGTATCGGCTCCACTCTGGATTTCTCTCAGCTACAACATGCCTTCCTACAGAGAGATGGCTGCCTTGAAGCATCTTCCCTGCTCCATACTATCATGCGCAAGATCCATGATGATCTTGTTGCTACATCAGTGCTCTTTCTGGACATCTCCAAGGCCTTCGTCTCAGTCTCCACCCAAACACTGCTCAGTGTGGCTAAGTCTTCTGGTATTCCTCCACCTCTAACTCGGTACCTGGGCACGCTATGTGCCCATCCGGTTGCCCAATTGGAACCGAGGTCTACAACATGCGGACGTGGTGTTCGACAGGGTGATCCACTCTCCCCCCTGCTCTGCATCATGACAATTGAGGACATCCTCCGAAGTGCCATCCCCGATCTAGGCTTCAACTTAGACGGCTGCAATGTCCCCGCGCTGGCCTACGCAGACGACCTGGTTCTCTTTGCTGGGAGACCTGAGAGGCTACAGGAGAAGCTCGACGGCTTGGTCGCAATCCCTCCACTCTGCTGGTATGTCACTCAACGCCAAGAAGTCGGTGGGCCTCACAATCGCCAAGGACGGGAAACACAAAACTATGGTCCTTCTCCCATCTACCTATCACCTCGGCTCCGACGAGATTCAGCCCATTGGTCACTCCGATACAGTCCGGTACCTCAGCCTCGAATTCAACTGGAAATGTCGAGTGGTGCCCAAACACACCTCAAACCTAGAGAAAATGCTCCAGGAGATCTCGATGGCCCCTCTCAAGCCTTACCAACGCCTGGACCTCCTTAAGAAATTTGTCATCCCTAAGCTCACACACGAACTGGTCCGGGGAACGAAACACCCTCAAAAAGATGGATGTTCTGGTCTGGTCCCATGTTTGGATCTGGCTCCGCTTGCCCAAAAACACACCTCTCGGTTTTCTTCACGCTTCAATCCGAGACGGAGGTATCGGTATTCTGTGCTTTGGCACGAGTATCCCTGTCCTTCAAAAGAACCGGTTCTCCAAGTTGCTGTCCAACCCAAGTCCTATCATCTCTACCTTTATCCAACAGAAGTCCTTCGCGGTCCTCCAGCAGTCAATAGACCGGCCTCTTCGGTTTTGCAATGGGCTGATCCAGTCAAAGACCGACGCTCGGAAGGCTTGGTGTAGTGATCTCCAACAGTTGACTGATGGGAAAGATCTCTTTGGACAACCTGTCGATCTGGCAAGCCATCACTGGTTGCGATATCCGGAACGGGTCTTCCCTCGTCTCCATCTCTGTGGGATTCAACTGCATGGTGGCCTTCTGCCAACCAAGTCTCACATGGCACATGGGTGTGGACCCTAAGACCCTGATAAAT